TAATAATGTTCTTGCACACTGTCACGATATTCTGAAGCTCGTTGTAAATTTTCAGATGCAGTTTGAGCTTTTTCGAATGCCGATTGGGATTTTGAAGAGAGTTTTTCGAGATCTTTTTTGCGGGATCCGTTTTGGTCTAGTTGAGCACGCGAGAGAGAGTCTTGAGCGTCCTGCGCCAAGTTTTGGAGGTTGTTGTTTTCTTCTTGAGCCTTGAGGGGAATAAGGGTAATAAGTGCTGAATTTTAACAGGCAAATACAGTTGGAAGAGAGAAACAGAGCAAAAAGAAACCACTGCAAAACATCTCCCGAGAAAACCCTTACCTTCTGCAATGCCGTATATGCATCTTGGAGATTCTGATTTACTTCACTATTCCTTTCGATTTGCTTATGAAAAAGTACACACGATTAAAATAACAATAAAAAATGCGACATCAGTTTGCATATTCACAGTAAATGTGGAAAGTACACATAATAAACACAACTTCTCTTACGTCCTTCCGCGCAGTATCAAGATCTCTTATATCACCACCAAACGGATCTATTATATCTCTTTGCAGCGATATTGCGAAGTTTCGCTGTAACGAAAAAGAGTATGGGTAAATAAATCGGAATAACAACCAAAACAAGAAGTAACCATTAACGATCAGGAATAGCATACATGATGTTCTGCGACCTTTGACGTTGTTTCTAGTGTATCCCGTATCGCGTTTGCTATTGACCTTTGAACAAAAAAACGAGTATTGTAAATAAATAATCAACGCAACGCACAACGAAGAAGAGCCAAATAATCAATATGATGAAAAACTTACGAAGATTTCAAACACGCAACTAGTGGACTCTGATCCATATTCGCCTCGTTGAAGAACTCTTTAAACTGATCATATGTTTCGGCTGTGAAGTTTTTAGAGATCCCAACAAGCAGGGTAAGTTAAACATCTGCTGCCATGACAAACACAACGAAACCCCCTTTAACTCTCGAAACGACATCAAAAAGTACAAGACTTCTGTTCGAAAGCTTACCCAACGAAGATGCATATTGAAGTTCAGCCTCCTGCCGCCGTTGCAGAAACAACTGTAGTATCTTGCATTGTTTTATTGACTCTGCTGTATATTGTGCCAGAGCCTGTGACATGGCTTTTGATTGGGTGTTTTGATGTCGAGATTTGTTGATTGACCCGAGTTGTTGTTTTTCAATGATTTTTATCTAGATGTGAGATATTGGAAATGTTGTTTAGATGCTGATCTTTCTGGGTTTTCACTGTCGGGAGGTGGTTGTTTAGTTGGTGGGAATATGGTGGCCGTTGGGATGGGGGGGGGGGGGGAAGAGAGCGGGATGTTG